TTCACAATCGACATACAAACTTCAAATCTGCCAAACAACTATTTGAACAAAATGAGGTCTCATCCGGGGATAATCTATCTTTAGTTTGCATAAAGAGGACCGGTTTGGACGTGAATGTAATGCAGAGTTCAGCCGCAAGGTAGGTGAATTTGATGAAAGATTGAATTCGTCAACTCAATACTTTCGCGATCATTTCTCCCCTGAATGGGATGGAGAGATAGACACGCTTCTTATTTGCTGTGCCACATAATGTCTTGGAGGGATACGATATCATACTTTTATGAATGAATGACTCAGGATATCCATTCTCTAGAAAAACTTTTCGTATTCTTCCCAGTTCAAACTCAACAGAGTCTGAAGGACAAATTTTCTTAACTCTATTTGTTAAGCAGCGAACCAAATTTCTCTTCTGTTGCAATGGGACGAAACTGTGGTAATGTGTGTACTGTCCCGTCCATGTTTTCTTATGGTGGATGCTTCTACGAATGGAGCCATCTGATTGTCGAGACACTAATACGTCTAGAAATGCGAGACCATTTGTGGATTCCTTTTCCAATGTGAACTACATTTTCGGATGAGCTCCATCGAATTTCTCCAACAAAATATCAGCATCCTTGTCAGCCTTGTATACACATATGATGTCATCCACATATCGTTTGTAGAAGGGGGATTCCTCTATGGGTTTTGAGAGTACTCCGTTTTCTAATTTGGTCATGAAAATGTCTGTTAATAGTGGTCCTAATGGTGAACCCATGGCTATTCTGTTTTTTTGTCTATAAATCGCACCATTAAACTGAAATTCAATATTATATGTGCATAGATCACAGTTTAATGAGCGCTTCGCCTCAGCAAGCATGATATCTGACTGATAAAAATATCGATAGTAAACGATCAAGTTCAAGAGACGTGGCTCTTGATGCAGAACCTTATTTTTTATTTCAATTTCGTACTTGGATCAACATCGTGCAGCACCCTGGCTATCATCAGACTTTTTCCGCACAATGTTTTGTGTTTGGAACCTTAGTCGCCGATTGAATATAAAATGCCCCACATTAAGCGGAACATATCTGTAATAATTTTCAATTAGGTCTTTTCTTCTACTGGCCAGATATACCATCTTCACACATTTAAAAAAAATACACGGTAACAAACAAGCTCATTTGCAGCAATTCTTCTACAGGCTAATACATCGCAATCAATATCAAACCGTTTATTATGGAGGGAAACCATATGTGACGACCAAACTGTGAGCAACATCCGGTCATGAAACTGGAATGTTTATAACTTCTTTTCCAACTTGTCAGACACTTTGAAATAAATTGTGATCGATTAGCCTGTAGATGAATCATCGCAAACCAGCTTGCTCACTACTGTGTGCTTTTGGTTATATCCGTCCGAATGCCACGAAAATGTACGAATTATCGATTTCAGTTGTAAAATAATAAAGCTTCACCAAAAGTCATTAGAATTATTCCATAAAAATGAACTATTGGCATGATGCTAGTATTTTACTTTCATTTTATGAATACTCTATTTGCTCTTCTTCATTTTTGAGCACTTCAACTATTCGTGTTTTTATAGAGTTCACCAAGTTGACCGTCAAACAGTATTTACCGGTTTCCTCTAATACATACTGCATCCTGACCAGTGGTTACTACGGTCGCGGTAGCTAACTTATTCCCGTTTATGACACAGAAAAGTTTTCGATGACATCCAAATCCTAACTTCTGGGCTTTATTGGAATGAATCCGACACTTTGAATGAACTATCCGGAAACTGCATAAATGTAAAAAGCATATAATTAGGTCGAGACGTTTTCTACGATCAACCTCGAGTGAGTTGTAATTTTAAGCTTTATCTAGAAAATGTATGAAATTTGCAAACGCATTTCGAGAGTGGCAGTTATGGAACAAATTTAAAAGATGATTCTAGAGAACAATGAACTAACCTTCTGTGCCTTGGGCTTTTTCACGGCCTTAGACTTGTGTTCAGCTGCCTTCTTCTCACCCAACTTGAAGCTTCCAGACTCGTTTTTGCCCTTGTTGCCTACGCGAACCAGAACACCCTTCTCGACCGCGTGTACGATTCCATGACGGATATGGGATACGAACTTCTCGACATAGACCTTGTAGTTGGCGGCGATGTACTTCTTGATCGTGAGTAGAGAAGTTCCCTTCCGATCCTTGGCCGCGGTATTGGCCCTCTTCACCATGACAATGACTGGTGGGTGCGATGCCGGAGCCTTGGGCTTGGTTGTCTCTGGCTTTTTCGCTGGAGCAGCTGCTGGCACGGTCATAATGAAGAGGTAGCAGGAGGGATAGCCGCACATGGAGACGGAGATTAAGTTCGGAATAACTGCTTTCCACCTATAGGTACCGATGTACACGTAGGATACTAGAAACGGAAGTATTTCCAAAATGAGAGTCATGTTGCATGAGTATACTCAATACCTGTAATAAGAGTGAAACTCGAGTCTGGTGCTTCTAGAGTGCGGTTGACTGGAATAGCTGAGGGCTGGGAGGGAAGGTGAAGTCTGAATGATAGTCAGATTCAATCAATCCGGATCACATATCCCAAACCGTTACTCACAATTAACTATGAGTTATGTAAGAAGTATTTATTTCTGACGTTCGCTTTTATGGAAATGTTCTTAATTCATTTGTACAGATACTTAGATCGTCTTGATCTTGATTTTGAGAACTTAGAAAATTATACTTCAAACTCGAACTAATTGCAGTATGGCACGAACGTTCATTCTTTTAAATTATTCACCTTTATTCCAAGGTGACGTTTAATTCGGTCAGCCTAAGTTTTCCTAATACCATATGAATAAATATCAGTATATCAGTAACTGATAATTTGTTTTGACAAATAATTTTAGGACATTCCGCTAGTAGAAGCCCAATATAGACAGATACCAATATATATATATATATATATTGTGTAATGTGACGTAATATTATAAGCATTTCCATGCATGAGGCTGAAAAGTTTAGGCATAGGAAGAAGAGGTTTGATGAAGGTTGAGGTGACTTTTGAGCTCCATAATGACCTATAGTTTTGGTAGACCACAGTTTTATTGTGCAATGTTTTCTATTGAATTGCTCTAGGGAAAGTGGGCAGAGACAGATCAGTGGTGTCGATCTTAATCTAAAAATTCTTACAATGTAAAACTTTCATGGCAATAAAACCCACCAACGCGAACCTAGAAAATCCACTGGGATGTGAATTGATCTTTATACACACCGGTTTTCAGAGCCTCACTGTGTTCTTACTTTCCGAAGAACGAAAAAGTTACATTATCATGAGAAAGCAACCATAAAATCAATATAAAGGAAACAAACAGGTGACCAATGAAAGGATCGATTTAGAAGTAATTTCCACTAATTTTATTTGATTGATTGATACACCGGCAAACCGGTGTAAGTGTTTCATCACGGCGAGGAAGAATCACATTTCAGCAGGATAACATGAATTCAGTTATTTCGGGTACTCTGAATCAGCTGCATACGTACAATGACAATCAAGGTTATGGGACAAATGAACACACCAATTGGGCCAATCATAGGACAGGGGCAAAGGTCACATAGTCAACCACGCGAGTGAACACGTGACGGGGTTCAGTCCTACCAGGTCAGGGCAAGACTGGCCACAAGGTCTAATTGTTTACACAAATTGGGGTTAAGCCGTCGAATGGCGGAGGCTTTAGCAAACTGAAGTAGACGATAGTGTTGTTGTCTACTTATGATCCTAAAGGACTTGCTAGGCTCCACACACAAGTTGCAGTCTTATATGTGGCGAGCAATAGAGCTTTTAAAAACTTTATTTCCTTTCAGCGCTAGATTCTTCGGGATGTGTTCGGAAATCCTTACGGACAGCCTTCGCTCACTTCGTCCAACGTACTTGCTACCGCAAATACACTCGAATAGATAAATGCAAGAGGAGGTAACTTGAGGATCAGGCTTTTCCAAATTTGATTCCACGAGCAGACGCTTGGTTTTGTGCAGAATGATTAGTGAGGCTGCATGAAATGTGCTGTGGGTTATTTGTTTTATTTATCGCTGGAGACGTCTGTCATTGTCGTCTCCTTTGAACGGGATGGTCAAGTAAATTTTCTTTTTGGCGGGCATTGGGTATTATTGTTTAACTGTTGTGTCTTCCGCGTACCTTTTGATGAACTTCAGGGGGTATCCATTTTCGAGTAGAGTCAACTGAATTGAAGTGTAAGTGTGTTGCTTATTTGACTGAAAGCCAGAGAGGAAAGAGAACTTACACACTTTTGACAGAATAACATTGTCCATGATCAACCGATTGGTTAATCGAAACAGTCATTTATTTCTTGGTCCCAAGGCCACATTGCTGACAAAAGGCTTTCAGTAATTGGGGTGATAGAGTACATTCCTAGTACTTTATAGGCTGGGTCCAATTTTCATTCCAAGCGATTCTCTGTAATTCTATACCAACGTAGCTTGAACCTATTTCCCTCATAAACCTGTGGTGGACGCACACTTGTGATTTCTATTCACCGGGGTACAAGAGTTCCATCAAAGTTTGTTTTTTGTTTCCCTTTTAATACGAAACGAATACATATGTGCATACTTTTCACTCGCTTCCAGGTTGCCTTGATCGTGTTCACTATTCTCACCATATGTATCGATGTTGTTTAAACTGGACGAGGCCACATCGTGTTTATCCTGCAACCGTGGACGATTGTTATCGAAGCCCAACCCTCTGGTCTCAACAACCGTTGTCAATCTGGTGTCATTTATTTTCTGGAACTCATTGATATTTATTTGTAAATCGTAATTTTTTCGACATGAAAACGTGAAAACCATCTGTTATTTCCGCTTTTGTCCATAGTTTGTGTGGAAAAAGAACGTGAAAAAGCAAATTGCCTTGATCTTACGAAAAAGGGTCGTTCTCCCCCTCCCCGTGAAGGATTGTGCATTTTAGGGATTTACACGAGCGTAAATCACTGGAAGGGGTCGAAAAGTGGGTTGAATAAGGAGAATGTTGAAAGAAAACTCATAGTTGTCACTTTTAATGGTTTGTTGAGTAGAAAGCAATATGATGGGCATTTATTTGTTCCCCTATGCGAGTTGCCTAAGGATACAGCTTGATTTTGTCAGCGGTTTGTGTAAACGGTACATTCCGCTAGGACTGGGTACGGTGTAACTGGAGCTAGAATTATGATCAAGTAGAGATGAATGTCAACACAATGCTTAAACAGATGGACTATTGTTACTGTCGGAAGTTGCATTTTTAAATATGTCCTCCAAAAGTGACTTCACAGTGGTACTAATATCAGTCTAAATTCCTCTTCTGTTAAAATAAAGATAGGTATGATAAGGCGGTTACCACGCTACCTGAGCCTGGTTTTGTTACTGACGTGCACTGAGTTATCTGCAGACCATAGAATATCTGTACTATTCTGCTATATATGTACGCGTTAAACACGGTTCACTGAGGATAAAGTATCCCCAAAACGTTCATTTATCTTATACTTTACATACTTTGGCTTAGAATACTTTATAGTGAGATCACTTCACTGCTTTGGTTTGTGCTTCAAACCGTGCGCTCCATTGAGTGCTGAATTAATTTAACTTTTCATAGCGGGTTAATACCCTTCGAGGGTAAAAGAAACTGACCTCACTGTTAATAAGCATATCACGAACTCAAGTATAAAATGAACCAGAGGAGGAAATGTGCATTATTGTGCAATAAAAATATTCACCCAAACTGGTATGTCGGGTTTCTAAGCAATACCAGTGATTCAACGGCTTCTCTTTGACCTACATACTGAGAAAGGTCAGAACGTCGGCAAAACGCGTGTTTGAAGTGAGCTTTTACCAACCGTCATCATTTTTTAGAATTTCAGGACAGAACACACATTCAAGCACGCATATAACGTGTTTCATCGTTACGTTTGGCATTTATTTGGACCGCAGTAGCGAAGGTGTGATGCAGAATGTTAGTGTGCAGATTCTCCGCGCACGCGAATCCAAAACACGGTCAAAGTCAATGGATGCATTCAAATGAAAAACAAACCTGGAGCATCAAGCTTGGATTAGCCCATTCGATTGTTCAGAGGCACGAGGCACTCTTGAAGGTCTTCGGTGTGGGTTTCCTTCCTTGAGAAATCGTTAATTCCCCACGAGATCATGCATTCAAATGCGATGGAAATGTTTGTGATAACCGACAGAGAGCACTGGTCAGCTGTTTCGTCCTGTTTGGGACTCGTCAGCAGTGCGTACTTTTAGTGTCCCTGTCAGGACTCAAGGCGCGAAAATTTGAGTTGGGACTTCAAACCCTTCGCCCTGAGCTACACAGTCGACGGTCATCACCTTGTTCGAATGGTTCGAGTCCTGACAGGGACACTAAAAGTACGCAATGCTGACGAGTCCCAAACGGAACGAAACAGCTGTCCAGTGCTCTTTTTCGGTTATCGTAAACATTTCCATCGCATTTGAAAAACAAACCTATTTGCCAGAGTGGTTCAACAGCATATCTTATGCGGTGGAATGCAAAACTGGTTATTACAGAGCAATGGGTTGATTGGACATCCTATTTGTAACTTGGTTCATTCCAATGGAAGGTTGTTGACTTGGTAAAGGCGGTGTGAGGATTGAGAAAGAGGCGAGGGTTTGAGACATCCTGGGCTCTGTTCATTCGTCATATGCTACACGTTTTCGTTGGTTAGAGTACAATGTTCAGTAATGTGTATTATACGGTTTCCGGGGTTGAGAGGAAAACACATTTTTGGGTAGAAAAATTAATATTGTCACTTAAAATCAGTCTCATCAATGGGAAGGCTTTTTTAAATACACTTTTGACAAACCGTTTTCGAGTATTTTCTTACTTCATAAACTTGGATTCGTCATGCTGACACACCGTGCATGCAACCACCGCTTCCATTGACGAATTGTTCTAGCTCTAGCAGATAGCTTCAGCAGTGTTTACACAGCGAATCTATTCGAATTTCTTACTGGGATCTTGTTAGACGTATAGTATGGGTAACCCAATATAATTCTTCATAACGTTACCAGGTGTGTACCACGCTGATTATCCAGATGGGGTGATGCTGAGAACATAGTTTGAGGCTCATGATGCCGTTCATTTTTTGAGTTCATTGGATAAAAAATGATGTTATTCACAGAAATCCTAATCGTTCCTCGCGAAGCACCAACCTAGAGTTCTATGTGGGTTGATTGAATATGGTCAACGAAACTGGATTGTTTAGGCCTATGTATCTGATTTCTCCTGACAATGGTTACCTGTGAAATATACGTTACTTGTGCACAAACACAAAGGTTCAAGTATAACATGTCA